CGGAACTTCTCCTCACCAGCAACAATGTCATAAAAGAGCCCCCACCATACAATGCACCCGACTGGGAGACCCTCATACAATACAGCAATGCAATCAAAGTGTACAGAACAAAACCATCACCAACGGGTCAGAACCTCAGTCAGTAAAATATTGTCCTCCGCAGCTTCTAATTAATAGGAACTATTATAGATCTGCAGACGGGTCTGTACACCTGCTGTGCCCATTATCCTCAACCTAACCGCTCAACCATCACGTTCTCAGACAATTCATCCCCACACAGCTCCCTCCTCATGTATCACTTCCCCCTCCTCTTTTAGATTGTAAGCCCTCAGGGCCCAGGCCCTCCTTACCATCTTGTCTTGTATTGTGATTGTAATTGTAATGTCATCCTTATATTGTAAAGCGCTGTGCACACTGTTGGCGCTCTACAAATACGATGTGATGATAATTCAGAGATGATTGGAGGATCTGCAGCCGAGTGATACACAAATAAGATACATTGTTGTTCAGAGTTCAGGGACTTGAATGTATTTTTAGGATTTAATTCCTGAGTTTAGTGTCACTTTAGGGAACCTGTTTGTTTCACCTTCTTCCGTTCCCTTAGAATGTGAGATCCTGCTGGGGAAGCAATCCCACCCTGTCTGCTGGAGATGATCCAAAAAAAGGGCATTTTATATGGGTGACATTTCATACCGCCCATACCCCCCGAGCCCCAATGACATCCACAATGCTTTTTTCCCTCCAGCATAATAACTGTTTTGCAATGATAATTGCTACGCACACAGCATGCATTGTGTTTTCTGTAAAGAAGGAGCTTTGTACATACAGAGGAAATCCCTGAATGCATCCTAAACTATGGAATAAAATGAGACGTGTAACTGATCATCAGCAAGAAAGCCTCTCACTGTCTCCATCAGACCCTGGCAGAAGGGACCTTACCTGGGGCTGTCAGTGCAGTGTGAGCTCCTGGCAGTCAGCTGGATGTGCAGCAAGTCCTGAGACGCTGACAGTATATATAGCGCTCCCTCTCCTCTCACTGACTCATCAGCCAGGAATGTACCAGCACTGTGTCTGCAGAGCTTTCTGGAAGAGTCAGTGTGCATCCCTCTCTGCTGGAGCTGCGCTACCTTCAGATCACCAGCAGGGGGCGCTCCGCGACACTCAGCAAAAGCCAACTGCTGGATCACCATTCACAGTGCATACAAGTGCTCTGCACATAGGGCTGAGTGTTATTTCAAGTACAATAAGAGAGTGTTCAGGGACAAGAAGACTTCTCCTGGTTTTTACTTTATTATTTCCTTTATGTGGAAATGTTGATTTATCTGCAGAAATAGTGCGCCATCTAAGCAGCAGAGTGACTTCTGGGTGTTTTTGCATCATTTACTGTCATATGCGTCCAAGGCCGGCCATGCACCATACATGATTGCCCAATCCCCATAAAATCTCCTTTAGATTTGCCAAAACGATGTAAAATAAGGGCCATCCCATACAATTCATTCCATTTCCATTAACCGCTTGCTGTCCGTGGTGTTTACACCCCCTTCCTGTCCCGGCCATTTTTCAGTATTCAGCGCTGCGGTACTTTGACTGACATTTATTCCGTCATGCAACGCTGTACCGAAATAAGTTTTATACCATTTTTTGGGGACAGATAGAGCTTTCTTTTGGTGGTATTTAATCACCACTGCGGGTTTTTTTTTTAACTATATAACAAAAAAGTACAGAATATAATTTTTTTTTAAAATGGTTTTCCCTTTATTATGTTAGGAAACAATTATTTTGACCAAATTTTTTGGTAAAATATAAAAGTCGGGGTGACGTCGGGTAAATAGACACCAAACATGTCAAGCCTTAAAATTGCGCACACCAGCGAAATCGCAAAATAAAACACCAAAGCTAAAATTGGCCATAGGCGACGCTTTAAAAGATTTTACCGCTCATCAGTTTAGGGCTCAGTCACACTAGATGCAGTGCGTCCTTTTTTGGCCTTGCTGCAATGCGAGGCAGTGCGTTCCGACCAAAATCGGGCCGGGACGCAGTGCATCTAGTGTGACTGAGCCCTTAGTGTTATCAGTGATTGATGGACCGAGAATTATTGCTTTCATTGCGACGTTTGCGGCGATATGCAACACGTGCGGCATAATTGGAGCAATCGTCGTTTTTGTGTCTAGGCGCATTTAACGCATTTTTGCGCATCTATGTGGGGGTGGGGGACTTTTAGAAAAATGTTGTGGGGTTTTTTTTGTTTTGTGTGTGTACATTTTTATTTGTTTTGTGAGCATTTTTTTTAAAAAACTTTTTTTTACACTTAACTTTATTGTTATCACATAGGGTGCTAAGAAGTAGCCTATGTGATAACAAGTTACAGTGACAGGTCCTCTTTATGGAGACATCAGGGGGTCTCTAAGACCCCTAATGTCACCTAAGGGACCCCCCCAGAGAAGCTGATGAAGCACAGATCTACTTCACCAGCTTCTCTCTGGTTTCTGTACCGGGGAGTGACAGAGGAAAGCGGAAGTGATGTAATATATATCACTTCCTGCATTCAGAGACCGGGGAGTAGAGCGGATGCTGCATATGTAGTGGGTGCTGCCTTCTGTCTGCCCATCACTTTCAACAACTGGATTCCCAGTGTGCATTGCTTCTCTTTCCCTGCTGCTTCATGGGATGCAACCTCCATTTCTCAAGACTACCTATCCCATCATGCTTTGCAATGATCATGTTACATTGTTCAGATGTTGTGTTGCATTTCAGAAGGCAGGTGTCCCATCCCACTCCCAATAACCAGATCCATCTAGAAATCTATAAACTTACACGTCGGAGATGCCCTATATAGGATGAACTTCCTCAACGCAAATTACACCATATCACTCCACCCTGTCAATATGCACTTCCTTGTGTCACCGACTCTCACAGAGCCCGTGTTCTATCGAAAGCTCCAACTCCTCGAGATCTCCAACTGCCTGGCTTTCGGTTTAGTTGGAACTAAGAGGTTTGGCAGAGAAGGCTCTACTGCCCACGGCATTTCCCTAGACACGTACTACACAGCGATGAAGTCATAAAATGAACTAGGATCACACTAATCCAGCACGTTATTATTCTGAGTTGCCCCACTCAAGCGGCGGCCATATTGGGTGGGGCACCTGAGATTAATAACGTGCTGGATTAGTGTGATCCTAGTTCATTTTATCACTTCATTGCTGCGCTGTATGTGTCTAGGGAAATGCCGCGGGCAGTAGAGCCTTTCATATCCTTCATTCAGTGGGGAGGAGATCGGCGAAGTGCAAAGTACCGTACAACATAGGGGCAAACAAAATAACAGACACCCGTGGTACCCCTTTGCAGATGACCCAAGGCAGACGAGGTCACAGGGCTACCGACTCAACCGATCAGTCAAAGTAGATTTAAGGGCCGGTGCACACCTGGGCGATTTATCGCGCGGTTTGAATTGTGCAATATCGTGCAAAACACCGATTCGCATCGGAGGCTGTTCACACCTCTGCAGTTTGTCGAGCGGACGAAATTGCTTGTCGCGGGGGAAAGGTGCAGGAGCTGTGCATTGAAAAACGGTTTACTATGAACACTCGCGCGAAAACAGCTCAGCATCTGAATCGCCTAGGTGTGAACCTAGCCCAAAGGTCAATTTCAGGACCTGTGTCGGCAGACTTTGGGCTCCTATGCATGGCATTCGTTTAAGATGCTACTGAGATCATCTGGAAATCATTAACAGGTGCAGTGGACCTTCTGCTGACCTGCAGTTGACCTTCTGACTTGTATTTGACCCACAGTTGACCTCCTGACCTGCATTTAACCTGCAGTGGACCTTCTTCTGACCTGCAGTTGACCTTCTGACCGGTATTTGACCCACAGTTAACATTCTGACCTGCATTTAACCTGCAGTTGACCTTCTTCTCATCTGCAGTTGACCTTTTGACCCACAGTGGACCTTCTACTGACCTGCAGTTAACCTTCTGACTTGTATTTGACCCACAGTTGACCTTCTGACCTGCATTTAACCAGCAGTTGACCTTCTTCTGATCTGCAGTTGACCTTCTGACTTGTATTTGACCTATAGTTGACTTCTACTAACCTGCAGTTGACCTTCTGACTTGTATTTGACCTGCTTCAAGCCTCTTTTGCATTCTCATAGACTGGAAACACATAACCCACTTGAATCGTACAAAAGTCAATTGACACCGGCCCTGAATCTGCTTTTGCTTTAATTACAAGAATATTTGGAGATCGGGTCATGAAGGTTCTTATTCAGACATTTCTTGTTATGAGGTGACAACTGTCTTCCAGCTATGTTCGGGTGTTGTCACATGCTTCCCTGGTGTAGGCTACAGGTGCCCAGGCATGGTCCACCATTCTCAATATCAGGAAGCTGGTCATGAGCAGCGATGGGCAGCCAGTGTTGGAGCGCGTGCATGTAGACAGGAAGTGGCTGAAAGCATCCAGAGGAGATCAGCAGCACTGAGATGGGAAAAAAGGATTTTAAAAACGGGGAACCAAGTAATTTATGAACAGAAAACCTCGGCAATTGTGCTTCCGCAAATTAAATGTTATCTAGACGGGGGTTTAAATCTAACTTTAAGTATCCTGATAAGTACGGATGCACCGATACCAGTTCTTCTATGACTCGCCACCCGGCTTCCTGATTGGCTGGAAAGCCGGCTCCATGCTCCCTCATCACCAGGGAGCACTGAGCCCAATCAGGAAGCCGGGCAGTGTGTAATGACTCGCTACCCGGCTTCCTGATACCAGAAGTTCCAGTGTCGGGATAGGCATCGGGAGCATTTGGCCGAGTAAGAATACTCGCCCAAATACTCGGTATCGGCACTGATACCAATACTAGTATTGGTATCGCTGCATCCCTACTGATAAGTGTTATCTACCCTTGGTGAGAGAACGACCGCACCATCACCCAGGGTCACCATCTACTTCCTGGACTGAGATGCCGGCTCAGAGATGACACAATCATGTAAATCCCGGTGTCTGTGCAGGTCTTGGCTGTGTTCTCAAATGTCTGACTCGGATCAGCCCCTGCTGCAGACTCTCACCTTGGGACTGGCTGCAATGTTACATTGTACAGTCTGATCGCTGGGTGGAAGGGAGACTGAGGAAACGCTTCCTCCTGCCTGCAGCAGACTTATCACTGGGGGGAGGGAAGACTGAGGAAATGCTTCCTCCTTCCTGCAGCAGACTGATCACTGGGGAAGGAGACTGAGAAAATCCTTCCTCCTGCCTGCAGCAGACTGATCACTGGGGGAGGGGAGACTGAGGAAACGCTTCCTCCTGCCTGCAGCAGACTTATCACTGGGGGGAGGGAAGACTGAGGAAATGCTTCCTCCTGCGTGCAGCAGACTGATGACATCATCTCATCCTGGGCAAAGTCACTGACTGGATCCCAAGGGGCACTGTTTTATAATGATACAAGGTGGAGGTTTTTGTGATACTACTGGAAGGTCCTCTTTATAATGACTCCGCTCTTCCCTGTGACCTGAAATAGATGTTGGAGGCTGAACTCTGGAGGGAGGTTCTGTGAACGGACAAAGCTTTGCGGTTTTCTTTTGTTTTCAAAACACATCCAACATCTGCCTGATGAGCGCTGGTTCTGGCGCCGTTCCAATCTCTTGGGGGGGGGGGGAAAGAAAACGGAACTTGATTAATAGACAACAGACGGGGTTGTGTAACGCTGGGTGACCTGCGTTCCCGCTGAGCCCGCTGCGTACATGGTCAATAGTAACCCCCCGGTCTGAGCTCAATGGCTTTGTCATGGTGAAGTGCCGCGTGTGCACAAAGAGGGTTCAGTGACAGTGCCGAGGTGCGCTAAAGGTGCGGCGTCCATGCGTTTAATGCACGCTATCTCGCAATGCTAGGTGCACGCTAGGTGCTCTGGTGCATTGCCACCCTGTCGCACCTCCCGGCGGTCATGTGTTCTGCTGCAATGCGTCGTACCGCAATTATTATTATTATCATTATACACGTCACTTCCGGGTCCAATCGTTGCGGCAAGACCTCATGGGGACAGCGGAGCCGGGGAAGAGGGGGAGGGGGGGGGGGAGGGGGGCAGCACGTTCCGACGATCGGTACAAA